AGGGCTTTGGTTAGTTCGGTGATGAACCTTCGGGTTCCGTAAGCCCTCTGGTTGGTTGGGTCCACTATTTGGGAAGCCTGAGGGGAAGAGACCACTGGGGAGACCTAGACGTAGATGGGAGGATAATCTCAGGCGGGATCTATGGGAGATAGGAGTTGAAGGAGACTGGATTTTGTTGGCCCAGGACAGGGTCCGGTGGAGGGCTTTGGTTAATTCGGTGATGAACCTTCGGGTTCCGTAAGCCGTCTAGTTAGTTAGTTAACATGATATGTTACAACGTTCCGAATATTATTTATCCTGTCCTCAACTTCGAGGTCTTAGAGCCCTTTGCCCTGTCACCGGCGAATTCCCTGGCGAAATTAAATCAGCTTGTACGCCTGCTTAAGATATGCGTGCGGGCTCATAAATTATTCCGGTGATCCGGGATGCGGGTTGTTCTTACGGCAAGGTCGGTCGAGAGGAAGGGAGAGACGAGGCCCTCATACGAAGATGACGGCGCTCATCAGGTCGCTACGTAGTAATAACCTCTTTCTCCATGTACGAGCTACGACCTCCATGGTACAAGAGTCGTTGAGCGTCTGATCAACAAAATGCTCGTCTTTTACGGAACCTGAGGGTTCATTACAGTGTTTACAAGACGCCGTCACTGGAACCTATCCTGAACCAGCTGAATCCAGTTTATTTACGATCCATCTTAATGTTATCCTCCCATCTACGCTCAGGTCTCTAGAGTGGACCCTTTCCTCCAGGGTTTCCGACGAAATATTTTGTGTTCGTTTGTCACAGATTTAATAATGTTTGGCAAGGGGTACGTACCGAATGTCCACGTCCTGGGTCCGCCTTCCCTTGTCCTTCGGCGTCACCAGTTCCACCGTCCAAAGGGTTGCACCAACGGCGCCAGCGTCGTGCTGGCCGGCGCCGTCGGCGTGTGATGATTGGGCACCACCTATTGTGACGTCACCGAGTCTCCGGGTCTGGAAGCCGTCCTGAACACTGCTTCCTGCAGCCGACGGCAGAATCAAATGAGAAAGACGAGATCTGGGAAGGCGTTTCACCTGGAACATCTGCGACGCGGAACGAGACAGCGTGACTTACTGCATGGCGACTTTCGAGAGATCCTTTCTTCGTGATACTTTGGCGTAATTATGTGTGTGATCG